TAAAATATAGCATTAGCTATATTATTATCATTACATTGTTAATTTTTCAGATAAGACATTTTCCTTATGTTTTTATGTGGCATCCTGGTTAACACCACTTTTTATTTTTCAAAACAAGTTATTTCAGACATAAAAAAATGTAAGTATCTATTTCCATACAATTTTAAGAAAAATATTGTACAGAAAACATTTAGAAATTGTAAAAAATTGTGGACAATATTTCCTCATAATGATCTGTTTCTAACTTTCTACAGTGACAACAAGTTTGACATTTCAAGGAGTCTTCAGAAAATTCTGGTTTTATTTTTTCAGTCAGATCTAGTATTTATATTAAAAATTGCTTCGCCAAGAGGCTCATGTTCTGTCACTGACAAATGAAGCGGAGACTGCCAAAATAAAAAGATACTACTTTTCTTCATTTTGGAACCTTTGTCAAAGTTCAGAAAAGATCTTAGAAACACCAACTATACTTTTGAACTAAATGTCTAAAATGTTAATGTAATTTCAGGGCATACTTAATACTGCAAACCCACAAATTAAAAAAAAATAAAAAAAGAAAGGAGCTGGAAGCTGCCTAGATCAAGACATTTGAAAAACAAAAATAAGGCTAAAACTGAAACAGTCGAGAGCTACACAGTGTTTCTCATTAGAGCAAGATAGCTATGAATATTAATATTTAACAATGTATTTTGAATAGATCTGGCGCAGCATCTTGTGCAGTAGGACTACACTCAAGTTCTGTGGTGTTCAGAGCACAGATACAGATTTTGAAAGCTCCTGACGCTCCACACGCTTGCACAATTAGAAAGTTACATAAACCAGCCGTAGCGGAGAGGCATTGGGGGGGTCTCTGTGCCTACTCAGCCATGACTCCTAAAGAATTTTAGAGCTCCCAAAGGACTCTGCTCATGCGAAGAGGAAGTCTTACCTACAAGTGTGGAGTTTTTTATGAAAAGGAACAAACCAAAAACCTCCTCATGTTTAAAAAAGTACTTCTTGTCTCTTAACAGCAAAACTGGGTTTGTTTAACAGCTAGGATGTACCTTCTATCTTTTTCTAAACTGAGTAATTGGTCTCCAGAATACACACAACTCCCATCGCTTGCACCATTTTGAATGAAGTGTAAATGTTGACTCATATTAATGACAAAAACCAATGGCTGGAGCCAGTGTAAGCTTCTTAGCATATGACTTATTAATCCACTGACTGCTTAATTCAATGTGGACTAAATTCTTAAGATTTTTGATCATTAATAGTAATCAATACAGTGACACAGCTAGACATGTGCAGGTATTGCACATTTGATTATAAGTGATATACATTTTATATTTTGGCTCTAAATTAGAAATTTTAGGTCTGACTTCCTTTTCTGAAGTACTACAGTTACTGTCTTCTCATTCCCACTAGCCAAATTTAGATCAATCTCAGGCCTAGGTTTTGTGAGGGTATGTACTTCCATATGAAACAACACAACACACGCTTCACATTCCTGAAGGTTATTTTTTCTTTAAAACAATTTGGGTTTCCTGTTCCTGGAAAGTGAAGATTCACAGCTCCAGGGAAGTTCTTGCTTCCCCTACAATTCTTGCAATGTGGAATCATCTCCACATGAAAAATCAGCTGGGGATACTTCACATTTTCAAAATCTTAATTTGCATCAAGAGGTTTCCACACTGGCTTAACAGTTCCCTGATTCCAGCACTTCCCTGGCAAGAGCGTCACTGGTTTAAGATACCTGAAATATAAAGATCATTTTTTTGGATGGGATCTCTAGCTGTATGCACACTTCTATTTTTCCGATGTGGGAAGTTTCCTACAGACGTCTTTAGTTTCTATCACACATATAATCTGTGATCTTTCAAGTTCACTATTTCTCCAAAATGTCACTGTGATGTTATCGTACGTCTCTCTATAGGCTGGGAGAAACGGTCACGACACACCAAGCAGAACAATGATGTAAAATCCTCCCATATAAAATCTTTTAACACTTGAAGTATATCACTTTTCTGAGCTCTCATTCAGCTCCCAAACAGAGATGAATGAAGAGCACACATACTAAAGAGCAGTTCTCAACCTTTCCCATAGAAGTCCAGACCACAGCAAGATGTTTTCAACCTGCATACCCAGTTTGATGCTTATCCTAGCCTGATCACACGAAGTTTATTTTTAAAAGGATTAAACTTATCTTTATTACAACATTTAAAATCACATACATTATTATTAATTTTCTAAAACTGCACACAACTATTTTCAAGTGGCACATTCCACATGCTCACCATATTTGCTTCTTTTCACCAGGCACATTTTGCCATGTCCCTGTTTTAACTTCCCAAAGGCCTGTAACAGCTCTCTATCCATGGCTTCAGTTTATCCCAACCCCCTTCCCAACAAGAAATAAAGAAGTAACTCTTTGAAATCTGTGCTTACTATTTCTAAGCACTGGAACCTCCTTCTTAAAAACTTGTGTTTTAAAGCAATATAAATTCCACAGAAAATCCAAGAGCTCCGAAACGAAAAGGCTTGTTTAAGCCACCACCATTTTCCAAAATACCTTGACTATGAAAAAAAAAAAGCCAAAAGCTCAATTAGGATCGAATTAAAGGTCATCAAGCCCAGAATCCTGTCTCTAAGAGCGATCAGCTGGGGATACTCATCTTGCACAGATAAGGGCATGGTCTGTTTGCCGTGATTCTCTCCTAGCTTCTGGCAATCAGTAATTTAAAAACTGCCAGAGACAGAGGTCAGCAGCAACAGCTGGACTTATCATCTAAAGATTCTCTATGCCCTCCCTGAACCCATATATAGCTGTGGTCTCTACAACATCCTGCTGTAGCACTCATCAGGCAAAACAGCATTCTCCTAACCTTTTTTTTCTTTTCTGTCTCGGGGCTCACCTGAGTCAGAACTTAAGAATTTTTTACTTAACAGACTGGGCTTTCCATAAGGCTTCTGTTTTTGAACTAAGATATGTATTAAATGGGAATTTTTCCTTGGTTTATAAAAGTGTAAACAGTGCTGTAAATACATAAGCAGGGGAACTGCTTACCGAAGAAATAGTGGATGATCACAAAAGCCTGCTTGTCAAATACACCTTGTGCAAGGATTAAGAACTGTTTATTTTGGAAACGGTACAAAAGCATCCTGAGATAAAGCAGTGTTGCTGATGTGGAAAAAACGGAACATTCCACATTATTCACAGTTGTTCTGCCAGTATGAAAAGTGAATTAATTTCCATTCCTGTTCTTGAAAACAGGAATATTTTTTCACATTTTAAGAGAAAAGGGTTGGACTTAAAGACTTTTGGAAATGCTTATATGTGAACACACAGTCACGGACAAATACAGCTTCACCTTTTTTTCATGGGGCCAGGCTGTCAATTAAGGGCAATCCAAAGGCTCTCAGATTTGTCAGCTAAACACAATCCCAAACACACCTACCCATGCAAAATGCCACATGTGTGAGTACTATCTGACACGCCTGCAACGTCCACGTGCATGGAAAATGGGGAAAAGATGCTCAGCAGTTTGTGTTCACTGAGTGCTCTCTATTCTCCGAGACGTGGACTGACCTCCACTGTTACTGAATTCATCATACAAACTCCTACAGAATATGCTTCTAAATTATGGCTTGCATTTTATGTACCACCCATTACCACTGAGTTAATTACAGTCTGGATTTAAACATTATCATTAGTTACAACATGTAAGATGTGTGAAAGGGAATTAGGCATATATAATGTCAGTTCTCACTGTTTAAATTGTTTAAATAAGGGAGGAAAAGACAAAGAAATTATATAGTACAGAATGTGGTGTCTACATCACAACTTGATACCTACTGCACGTTTCTGTATTGCTGAGGAAATTCAAAGATGCAGCATTTGTGGCCATAGGACTGGATTCTGGGTGCTTTCTGGGATGTAGCCTCCACTAAAATTTGGAATCCTTGTGTGGTTTCAGGCAAGCAGTGGCCACGTCTGGGCCTCAGTCTTGTACTCAAATCACAGACTTACTCATAAAAAGCGACTGCTCACCAAAACTGGCTCCAACATCAAGTGAAGAACAGCTGAGGAAAAGCAGAATTCAATTTCTAGCACTCAGCTAAAGACTTACTGAATTACAATGGGCACTTCTATTATCCCACATTTCAAGCCCAGTCTTAAAACACAGCTAATTCTCCCCTACCACACAGAGAAGTGCTCATAATAAAATGTATAATAAATAACTTGAAGGCTCTCAGATATTGTAGTGGTGAATTAACATAACTATTCAGACAAAGAGCACTCAACATGTCTGACTGATCAAATTTCCTAAAAAGCCCCAGAAATAAGAGCATTATTTTATATTTATCTCTATCCATATAAATATAGGAATGTGTTCTTATAGCCAAAATTCTTCTGGACCTTGCCTCTGAATTATTCATAAATAAAACACACACTTTACTATACTTTTAGTTATGTGAAGAGATGAGGAGAAGGAAGCCAGTTATGAAATAGGCTCAAATGATGCCAGTCTTTCAAGTATGTGTCTGAAAACAGCTAGATTTCTGAGGCAGTGAAGTAGCTCTTAATCAACTACACAAAAATACGTATGGAACATCAAGAAAGGATGCTCATGTGCTATCTTTTACTTCTTGCTTAAATGTTTCTTCTGAAAGAGAGGAACTTGATTCAGATTTTTGATGCAGCTTGTTCTGTTGCTAATGTACAACTTGCTTCTAAGCATCCATTTTAATGTTGTATCAACCTTCTACTTGTACATGCAAAACCCTGAAGTCCTAGCTCAACTGCCAAGCCAAAGTCTAACCTCTTGCAAAATACTTAATATAAATGTCATATAAACCATTATCGTAATGAACCATCTCTACTGGGGTTGATATGGACTATGCTCTACCATTACAAGACTGACACTTTATTTGGTCCACATGCACCAGCTCTTCTGTGTATCTTTTATTAATGCAAATTTATATTTCTAACAGCAGTAAAAATAAAGGATTGAGGCACATTTACTTGAATTTTAATAATAGGAGCTACGCACATAGATAAAGAAAAACATGTAAAACATACATAGTACAAGAAAGGTCATAGAATACAGAATCTTTCAAATTTATAACTCTGTACAGTGTTTCAGTGCTTGGCAATGAACAGAATGTTGAGAAGATCTTGACATTTTAGATACATTTTAAATATACTGCACATATTCTAAATACACTAAACATATTTTAAATATGCCCAGGACACTGTGAGTTTCGGTTTCCAAAAGGCTCCAACGCATGAACTAAGTGCATGAGGAAGACCATGTTACGTTGGACATGTCCTATTAACCTTAGGGGTTTTGTCAGAATCAAATAAGGCAGAAGAATGACACAGATGATTGCCATGGAGAGGGATTCGACTCTTCCTCTGCGTTACCTAATGGTTTCTACTTTTTTAAAGGCAAACTGATGTAAAAAAAATCAGGTTTCTTGCAAAGATCTCATAATCAAGTGTAAAATGATGCTAACCTTTATGAACAAAAGGCAAATGAAGATGAATAACCAAATTGCATTTGATTTTCTGTGAGACTGGAAACTTCACAGCAGCAGAAAAAAAAACAGACTGAATGAAACCTGCTGCAAAAACCTTAGTTTTGCAGACCTTTGAGAGCTGGCATTGTGTCTGTGCTACGTCCCAAAGCACAAACCGACATGCCCTCACCCTTCTCATGACAGGAGAGCAAAGTTAAATGACAGAGCCCTAATGGTTCAGTAATGGTCCCACCCCAGTACACTACCTCTGATGATGAGAGAACTGACTAAATAAAAATGACCTTCCATAGCTGTGGCAGTGTAATTTCAGCCCTGGTGGCAATACACTGGAAACCAAACCTCTTCTCAGTTTCAAACCTCAGCCTTTGAAAATAACATTAAAGGCTCACATTGAGAAACTGCTTTTTAAACATTTTTTTCAAGGGAGAACTGAAATGTAAGTGTCTCCAGTAGGGAAAGCTCCATTTGTGCCTTCTCCCGTGGATAACGGCAGCAGGGAGAGGGGAACTTCAATTCCCTGTCAGCACTCCAAACTGTCATCTAAATGCAAGACTGCAGTGGCCTTCAAAAGTTTTAATTTATAAATAAAGTATCTATTCCTACATAAATGTCACATTGAAGTGTATCACAGAATTCAGCACACCATCTGCCTAGCCATGACTCCAAATGAAAATGTTATTCAAGTTCTTGCCCATATTTTCCATCCAAATATTTGTATAGTTTCAAATAGCCTAAGGAACCTGGTACTGTCGTCATTCTCATTGAAATCAATAAAAGCTCTGCCTCTGGCTTCAACGGGAACAGCCTCAAGCATCCTGTAGCGACATCTTTGAAATACTAAACCAAAACTGCTACAGCTATCATTGAAGGAAGTAACGTATCTCTATTTCTATTTACAACCATCCTGAATGCACGAGGCACTCGTGTAATGAAGGTCGTAAGACGGTGGTCACACGGGGCACTAATTTAGAGCAGTTATCTTAAAACAGCCTCTTCAGAAATAGTCGCATTGACGGATTTCCCCATCAGACGAGGTCTGATACAGCAGCTACCGAAATGAACACCAACATTCAAGTTGCTCATTTGTATGATGTGCCTCCCCAGACCACGCAATCTGAAGTTTTATTTCAGATAAAATGCCCATGGAGAAGAACAGATGCCGTGACTAGTAACAGCTATCCGAGCTTTTGTGACAAACTGCAAAACAACGGTGTCCTACTGTGAAGCATACCGACATTACAGACGAAGCATGGAGAATCAGCAGAGTGCACGGCTGGTGGTCCGGGTGGTTGGAGGGAGGAAAGAGATGCAGCATTGCAGCGAGGGAAATGGTAAGAGAGACTGGTGAGAAGAGGAGTCCTGAGGAGGCAGAGATGAGAAAGAGGAGGAAGAGGAAAAAGGCAGTGAAGCACAAGAAGAAACTATGGGAATCACTGCTACAGATCAAATGGAATAATCAGAAAGTCAGTAATATACATGTATTAATTAAACCTTATCACCATGGCCCTGGACTGCGCATGACCTTCAGATGGAGTTAACAGAAAACCTACATGCACAGTCCTATATTACTTTTTTTTTTTAAAAAAAGGAACAAATCTGTAAAAAATCCCTAGGCTAGGTATATAACCCTAAATACATGCTGCACCCTTTCTTCAGTAGGGCGATGTATACAGCCAAAAGCAACCTTAAGCTTTATGGAACATTAATAATTAGAATGAAATGAGCGCTACAGATCGAATTCATATTTGAAAAGTGAAAACCCTTAATACTAAAAACTACTTGCCTGAGACTGAATTGGGAACACCGTTGTGTAAGCACTAGTCTGTTACCTTCTAAAGGTCACAAACAAACAGACGAATAATCATCCCAGATGTTCAGAAAATCATTTTACCGTGATATAAAAGGCATATGCTAAAGGTCATTTGAAACTGAAATTTCTAGCTGGGCTTCTACTTTGCCACAAAGCGAAACACATTAAAAAACACATACCAATTGAGCTGGTATGTGGCTTTAGCGCACGTGAGAATTCTGCTCCGCCATCCGCAATGAACAAAGCTGTTCTCTTTTATTGCTTTTTTCAGTACTTGAATATCTGCCTTGTAAGAGAAATTGTTTTTGCCTAATGCTATGTCTGGTACTTCAGGTGTGGTCTGGCTAGCTTTTTATAGCATATTCTGGAGTGCTTCTAAATCATCTCCAGGCAGAAGCAGATATCAAAAGCGGTAACCTTGTCTGATCTCCCTCACTTACATCCAAGTGGCATTAATGGGACATTAATAGGCTGTGCGAACACAGAAGAAACGTATCCCTTTTCCGTAAGGATACGAGCAGCACTGGCAGACTGTTCCGTTTGCACTTTTTCTCATCGGGGGCGTAAGGATGTCTCACCAAAGAACTGCATGGTCGGTCCAACGTCTCAGCAGCTCTCCGAGGGCCTGACCCTGGGGGGCAGCTCCAGGCAGCGCCCCTTCCCAAAGTCCCTGACTTCCGCGCGTCCCCAGCCAACGCGCCCCAACGCTCTCCTTTGAGCAAGCCGTCCCGTCTGCTACCGACCGCACGTTAAACGTGACGACAGCCGATACTCCTCCTTCCTCGCCTTGTCTCACCAGAGCCCGCTCGCATCCCTCCGCGTCCCTGCCCGCCTCCTCTCCCCTCTGCCCGCACCCACCTCCCGCCCTCGCCCCGGCCCCTCACCTCCCCGCTCCCCTCCTCTCCCACCGCTTCCCCACGACCGTCCCCTTTCCCCCCCC